TTGATTTCTTAGAAAAATAATATTGGAATGTATTTTTACTTATATCTCAAGTTTTAAATTTTCACTCGTATTTCTTTTCTCCAATTGTTTATTTATTTTATAAATCTATCTTTATCCAAGTGCCATTCTTTTGACCTTTCATATTATATTCACCATTAAAAGTGACTTAATTCTCTTCATTAAAATATTCATCCAGTTCTACCCACTCTCCAATCTTTTGCTAATTTCCTTCTTAATCATATGATCCACCCCCACTAATTATATTACCCTTAATACTTATATAATATTTACATTAGTGAATATCCTCCCCATCCATATTAATCAAAGATAATATCCCACCTGCCTACCTTCTTACCGTTCATATTATACTCACCATTATAAGTTACTGATAAACCAAACTCAAATCCTTTATATAGTTCTATCCACTTTCCAATCTTTCTCTAATTTCCTTCTTAATCATATGATCCTCCACCACTATATAGAAATATTTTCCCTTTAAAACTTATATAATATTTACATTTATTTATTCCCTTTTGTTGCCCAATTAAACCATATTTGCCATCCGCCCACCTTCATAGAATTTGTATTATACTCACCCTTATAAGTTACTTATTTTAAAGAATAAAACTCTTCATCTAATTCTACCCACTTTCCGATTTTTTTCTAATATCCTTATTCATCATATAATCCACCCCCACTAAAATTCTCCTATTAAAATCATTATTACATATATTTATTTTATTAATTTCTATCTACCTACATAATATCCCATCTGGCAACCTTCAGACCATTCCGATTATATTCACCAATATAAGTGACTTATTTTAAATCTCTAAACCCTTCATCCAATTCTACCCACTTTCCAATCTTCTTCTAATTTCCTTTTTAATTATATGATCCACCACCACTATATTGATTATTTTTCCCTTTGAAACTTAATTAATATTTACATTTATTTAAATTTCATCTCATTCCAATTAGAATACATAATATCCCATTTTCCTACCTTCATACCATTCCTATTATATTCACCTTTATAAGTGACCTTCTTATTTCTATAATAACCTTTATCTATGTCAATCCATTTGCCTTATTTTTGACCATTCTTATTGTATAACCCGCCTCCTCTAAATAATTGGATAAATCCATTCATCTTCACTTCTTTACATATGAAATCCCATTTTCCAATTCTAAAGTCATTATTATATTCTCCATTTTCAAATATTTATACTTAACTATTCATAATGATAAATATCAATGAATGACTTACTTCTAATAGTTAAGAAATAGATCCCTCCATAATCCTTATTTTTACCCTTCTTTATAGTATCCACCA